CAGTGAGTCTTTTGATTTCATTTGACTTGATCCACTCTTCTCCACCGCTTGTGACATGTGAAGTTGTTACATACTGCATGCATTTCCAAATGCTACCTCAACTCCTTCCCATTGTAGAGAAAACACGGTTTGTAGAAAGGCGTTCAGGCTCTGGTAAATTATAAATGTCCCCAGGAAATGTCGGTGCATTAGCAAATGAACAGGCAGACAGACTGGCTGGTTGTGTACTACTTAGTAGTAAACTGATACATGAAAAGTTAGATGTTGTAAGGGCCCTTTGGGGACGAATGAACAGCGCGGAGGCTCAGAAGGACCCCCCTGGTCTGAAGAGAATTATGCTGCGAGGGGTGGCCAGGGGATCGGGTGAACTCTCAGCGTTCAGGGAAAAGGTTAGACGGATTTACAGACAGACATTTACTGGTCCCATCGGAATTAGAACTCTCTGTTTCTGCTGAAGATGGGGACTGCGCTTATGGGAATGCCCCGAGTGCTGTGATGTCGATTCTTAATTAAATATTATAAACATTTTTTTCAAAGGTGTGGTCCTCTATTTCAAATGAAACTCGTGTCACCACTGTCTGCCCCTGTGTGGGTTCCGGGGCCCTAAACAAGAATAGATCTACTGCCTACCCAAAAGCATGTCGTAAGAGTCGACTAATTGGGAGCTTCGTTTGAAGTCGGAGGGCATCTGCCTGAGGGGTAAGGAACCAACAGTCTGCACACAAATGTGTCAGATCTGTCAAACAGATGCACACGCAACACTCAGGTTCTGGAACAGGACTACAGCCCAGAAGTGGACGAACAACCAGAACTGGCTACCAGAGTTTACACCTGGTGACCGCAAAGAAGAAGACTACTGTCTGAATTGGAAACTTATGTTGCGGTGTAGATTAGAAGGTCATACATCTGAGGATTTAGGGCCGCACGGCTGGTGCTGTTGTCACGGTTAGGCTGTGCAGGCTACGTTGTTGATTTTTTTTCCCCGACAGTCAACAAAACTTCATTACCTTAACGGGGGGTCGAGCTCGGGTCTCCCGCACGAGAACGCGACATTGTAACCGCTCGACCAGCAACGCTCTATTTCAAATTGAAAATTATATTTATTTCTCATTCAGCACATCATTATCATCATCATCGTCATCATCATCATCATCATCATCATCATCATCATCATCATCATCATCATCATGACTTTTTAAAGAAAAAAATGTCAGTGTTCACCGTAAAGTGTAAAAGGTGCCGACACTCATCACAAAGCCTTTAGTACAGTAGCGCTGACAAAATGAGCCTTAAAAAAGTGCAGGTACTGCGTACCGCCAAAGAGGAAAAAGCCATAATTATAATTCACCTACCCCCCCCCCCCCCTCCCCATCCGCGCCCGAAAATTTGTAAAAAGGAAGGGGGTAGAGCCCCCTTACCCCCGCCCCCATGGCAGTGATATCTGTGTGTGAATGTTCCCTCGTAAATTATCTTTCTAACTGACAATACTTTAAAAATCAGCATATTAGTTACTGCCCTTACTAAAGCACCCCCTACTTTAAAAGTTAGTTGCTTATCCTGTTCCGGACGTCGCAGAACCAACCCCAGCATTTATTAGCTGTTGTGGTTTTTCTAGGTAAATTTTACGTCTAGTAGTTTGCCATTGCTTCCTGAACGGTCAGCTGTCAGTACCACTGTCGAAACCAGCTCAAGACAAATCGTCCGCAGCAGGGATCGAACCTGGCACCCCGGCATTATGAAGCGCGTTCACAATGCCAAAGCCACAGACGCCGACACTCCCTACTTCAGCCATAACAAATAATCAATTTTCCCTGGATTCCTCCCTGAGTGTGTGTGCGCGCGCGTGCGTATTTTCCCCCCACCCGAACTGTTTTTTAATGGAATCAGTTCAGTAAGTTGATTGCGCATATTGTTTAGCCGAATATTAGTGAACTATGTTAGAAGAGTATTATGGTCTGGAGAGAATGAGGCACTTGGGTGTAACTAGAGGGTCCGGCCGGCTCACTACACTCAGAGGAAAGGCAAGACGGACATATGACCAGATTGTGACCGGCACCATCAGTATTGGAAATCTGCGCTGGCTGCTGAAGATGAGGACGGAGCATCACGGAAATGCCCCGAGTGCTGTGATGTTAATTCTTGACTTCACTCAACTCAACTAGTGAAAAATGTCGTTAGCAAACAACGAGTAGTCAGTCACTCCTTTCAAAACAAATATGGCAACACCTACTTTACTGCGTCTCACACTGATGCAACATTTAAAACCAGTGGCGTGAGAGATTTCGCCATCTATTTCTGTCAATTCTGTAGCAGTCGCTTGTGTTATATCATTAGGTTAGTTCTTATTACTAGATGCTGCAATAATTCTTCACCATTGCCAGAATGTCTAGCGGTCTGTGTTTGCGGTTCTGAAAGTATAGACAGGGAACTGTTTGAAGTATTTGGATGACCTGTTGATTTGAGAGACAACATATTTATAAAAAAGAACAGAAAGGAAGGGGAAGGAAGAAGAAGAAGAAGAAGACGTAGAAGGGAGAGAATGCAAATAATAATAATAATAATAATAATATTAATAATAATAATAATAATAATAATAAGAAGATGAAGAAGAAGAAGAAGAAGAAAAGGAAATCTCTTCTTGAAAGAGAGCATGAAACAAAATAAACCTCAAAGATAGCAAAGAATAAAAAAAAAAAAAAGAAGGTAGGAGATCTTACCTGTTTACAGCTTTTACTGCACCATGTTGGTTTAGAGGTACCCTTTACTAACTTCAGCAGAGCCGGTTCGAATCACATCGTGGACAAATCCACTTTTATTTTTATTTATAGTCGACTTACGTCCTTTTTAGGACGTAATTTTTCTGTTATTTGAAGCCCCACTCTGGCTTTTGCCAGGGGCCGCAATATAGGCAGGCCATAAATATGGCCAATTGTCTGAACGCGGTTTCTGGGACCTCTCTACGGTGATCCTCATCCACATGGTGGCACTTTGTGTCATTGGGTGTTTGTCGCTTGTGTAGTGTCCTAGTGGTGTAGAAAGTCAGTCAGTCAGTCAGTTCACTTTTGCAAAATAAAAACTCGATGGCATACTTCAGACTGACTCTCAGGACGTGGATGGGGCGTTTGGCGTTTTCAGACAAAGGCGAGAAATGTGGACCTCCCGCAAGCACACTGAACTGTACCGGTTTTTTTTTTTTTATGAACTTGGCTTCCAGGTCGACTCAGCCTTGAATGGGTACCAGGTGGGAAGTAAAGGCGACCGGCCAGATGCTGACCACATCAACCACACAGTGCGACTGGTCTATAAAATATAGTTCTATTCCTCTATGCCCAAATACGCCTGTAGGCGGGGAAAGGGTCCTTTGCTTACTTTACAATCACACTAAACATGTTACAGAGCATTAATTCTTTGGGTCCCAAGGAACGCATCATACGTTCATAAGTTCCTAACTAGAAGCCAAGTGAAAGCAAGATGCGTTGATTTAAATCTTTCTTCACTACCCCTTGGGACTATGATGCTAAACCCTCGGGGATTCAAAGAGTTAATTTAAGTAGAAAGAGAGAAAAACAGTGGCCGTTTGTTCATGTTAAATTAGTAAAACTCCCTGCAAGAAATGGTATCCTCCCTTGTGGGTCTTCGCCGATAATGTGCATCATCATCATCATCATCATCGGTTTAGCAGTTCGTGCACATTCGTTGTACTGATCTGGTTTATCTATACGAAGTTTTTTCCCCCTCGCTTTTTGGGCAAATGCACTTTGACATCGAGGCAAATGCCTAATTATTTTACTTTTACGACATGCTTGTTAGGGATAAAGTGGATCTATCCCCCACCCCACCCCTTCCTACAATGAGGCCCCAGAACACACACGGAGATGATAATATGAATTATAGAAAAAGATTGGAGAAATACTGTGTGAAATTTATGTGTAGCGTCAGTTTTTTAAAACAACAACAACACATACGCATCTTACTGGTTCATATAAACTGTACAACTGTTTACTAAAAAGGTCACGGGTAGTGAGCATACTTTGGATCTTTTCTCCAGGCCATGCCGGCGTGGTGGGTAATAAACAAAGAGATAGATTGGCTGGGTCTGCACCCCTGGGTGGTGAATTGATACATGACAAGGCAGATGTGGTCAAGGCCCTTTGGGAACAAGCAACGGAATCAGTAGAGGTAGAAGATTAGTATAGCCTGGAGAGAATGAGGCACCTGGGTGTAACCAGAGAGTCTAGCCGGCTCAGGACACTCAGAGGAAAGGCAAGAAGGACATATAACCAGATTGTGACCGGGACCATCAGTATTTGAACTCTGCGCAGGCTGCTGAAGATGAGGACGAAGCATACATGGGAATGCTCCAAGTGCTGTGATGTAAATTCTTGACTTAGCTCAACTCAACTCAAATGTAAACGAAGTATTAATAGGTAGAAGTACCAAGCTCCTCCTCCTTCCAGTCATCCTTTCATTGTCATCATCCTCCTCCTCCTCATCATCATCACCATCACTATCATCCTCATCGTTCTTCTTCTTCTGCTTCTTCTTGTTTGTGCTTTACCTCTACCACTACCTCCTTCTCCTCATCCTCCATCGTCTTCTCTATCAGATCTCCCAGATAATCTTTCTAATAACATAAACCGACAAAGTCAAGTCCGTATCAAGAAGAATAAGTTAAGAAGCACTGATCACTAAAATCTCAGTTTGAAATAAATAAAACGAACACAAGAGACAATCCTGTATAATTTGTATTACAAGCAAAACATACAGTTACAGCATACATATTAGACCTCAGAAAGGAGAAATCTTCAAAGAATCAGTTTTTGTAAGACGAACCGCCACCGCCCCCGGAAGTGAAACTTCCAGCCAATGGGATGGCCCCGTTCCAAACGACTATTTCCCTACAAGAACCCCGTCTGCAAGGACCGGCGCTCAGAAAACCGAAATTGAATCCTTTCTTCTCGCTAATTCATTGCGGTTTCCTTTCTTAGCGGTCCTGAATAATGCCAGACAAGGTTGTGTACGTAACTCGCCGGATTCCAAAGCCGGGGTTAGATAAACTAGCCGAACGGTTTGAGATTGACTTCTGGGACGATGATGAAGTGATTCCTCACAATGTCCTCATAGACAAGATGAAGTCCAGGCGCTACGACGCGCTCTTGTGTATGTTAACGGACAGGATTGATAAAGATGTCCTCGACGCAGCCGGTAAGACAACACCTTACTATTTGACACGATTTAACTATAAATTATTTGCTGATTTCGTAAAAGGATCCATTAAACATGTCCGACAGATATGTACGCCATTGAAGTTAAAGACGCCTTTCAGTTTGAAACGGTTTATGCGTCTTCATGTTTTATGATGCGTTTTGTTTGATTTTGCGGCCGTTGTACTTTTAAATTTAAACTTAAACCATTCCTTTGCCCGGCATATTTTACCAGATGACTAGTTCAAACAGAATGTTAAATTGTTGGGACAGCCCAGTTCTAGTTACTGGGATGTTAGCTTCGAGTCACAGTGATAACAGTTATCCGGCGAGAATCGAGGACAAAAGGGACGTGGCCAGGATTAAAGGATCCATTTAAACACCAAGTTGGGCATATGTTGCTGACTACGTGTGTACAGAGCAGTCATAATGAAAGTGTATTTTCTTCTTCTTCGCGATCACCCGCTGTTAACTTTGGTGGAAAGTTCCAGAACGTGCGTTTTGCGTGTACACTGTACACTCGTTTTATAGATCTCTCTCTCTCTCTCTTTTGTATGCAGACTGTTGGTTCCTCGCTTCTCTGACGGATGCATTTCTACTTCAAGGAAAACACTCGAATTAGTCGCCTTTTGTTGCATGCTTGTTTTGGGGGGGGGGGGGGGGCGGGGCAGTGGGTCCAGTGTTGCCACTGTTCTTTGACTAAAAACATCCAAAACAGAGTCTAAAAACATCTAAATTTGTGTGGAAAACATCTAGAAAAAACATCCAAACGGAAAGAGTCACAAATTACATAGCAATTGAAATGACTTAGCCTATAGAATCATGTCCTCATCTTTACTGAAGTCTGCCTTACAAGATCCACAGAATAAACTTAGCTTGAATGATAAAGTTGAAGCTTCAAATCCAAAATGACTCTGGTATGCTTTAGCTGTTCCAGTTTCTTTTAATACCCAATCAGGGAGTTGATAAGTGGAAAAGTCTTTTGCTACTCTTATCAGGCCGAATTTTGTTGTCAATATAGCATTTAAGAGGTCAAATTTCATCCTATTTCTTAGGTTAAATTGGATAAATTCACTCCAAATGAAAAACATCTAGAAAACATCTACCATTTAAATGTCAAAACGCCATCTAAATGCAAGGAAAAATATCTAAATCTGGATGTAAATCATCCAAAGTGGCAACACTGAGTGAGTCTATTCAAGGCCTACTACAATTTATTGGAGTCGGTCATGGTCCGTCTGCCCCCCCCCTTCCCCCCCCCCCCTAGATAGTGCCCTGGTACACACACGAGGATTGGTTGTATGATAATGGTCAGTATAAACTGGTGGACTTTAAATAAGTAAAAGGCCATTTCTGAGAGGTGCATCGGGCACATGATGCTAGGCTCAGTTGTATCCAGCAGAGACATTTGATGGATCCAGGGGTTCAACATCACATCGGCCACCTTTGCTTCCCACATCCCGCCCTTGTGCCTATGTTAGACTATGTAGGCCTGGAAGTCAGGCCATAAATCGGTGATGTGGTCAGCATCACTCTAGCGGCCTTTACTTCCCAGCACTTGGTACCCATTCAAGGCTGGGATGACCCTGGGATCAAGGTCATTGCAACAACAACAACAAAAAAATACCGGCACCATTACAGGCCATTAATAAGGGGAAAAAAACTATTTTTTTCTGAAAGAAAAAAAATAAGGGGGGGGGGGGGGGGGGGGGGGGGGGGGGGGGGGGTATGGACATGGAAAATAATATAAGGGCAGTAACCTCAGGGCCACGTCACCCCATAGCCAGCGTTTTCGCTGATGATAGCCTCCCCTTACGTGTTTTTGTTGTTGTTGTTGTCTATACTATCTAATGTGCTATTTTCATATACTCACGCCAAATAGTTGACAGCAGTTGTGCCAAAACCTAGGAGCTCAGACACCTTAGAATTCTCTGTTTCCCCCCCCCCCCCCCCCCCCCCCCCCCCCCCCCCCCACTACCATTTTCTGGAAAGGGAGCTGTGGGGGTGGCTTAAACCCTGATCCCATCCATGTATAAAAATTATCGTGTTTATTAATATACATCATATTATTTTAAATATATTATTATATTTATTTGCCATTCAGCACATTATTATTATATACTTAAACAAGGGTTAGACCTCTCTTGAAATGTCCTAGCCCTGTCAGAAGAGTTAATGAGTCGGTCCGAATACAGTTGATTCCTGTAGCAAGTTAATGATTGTTTCACTAGTGTTTTTATATGTTGATTGACAAGTGATTATCACTTAAATTATTATGAAATTATAAATTATTGGCTGTTGGTGCTGATTGCAGATGATTGTCCCTCAGATGATTATGAAATAATTGCCTGGCTCTTGGTTATCAATCTTGATTGAAGATTATTTCCCTAAAAAGGTTAAATGTTTGCCTAGCTAGTGATTATCAATGCTGATCTCATATGGTTGTCACCCAAATGATTATTCAATGACTGAGTGAGAAGTGATTGTCTGTGGCTGATCTCAGATTTTTCTCCTTCAAATGATTATTAAATGATTGTATTACAAGTGATTGTCAGTGATGAGGGAAGATAATTATGTCTCACATGATTTTTAAACCATCACCTGTGAAAGATTATTAGTGCTGATCTTAGATCACTGTCTTTCAAATGATTGCCTGAGAAATGATTGACAATGTTGATCTCAGAGGATTGTCACACATATGCTCCCTAGGACCCCAGCTGAGAATAGTTGCCACCATGTCTGTGGGCTATGAGAACATTGATACTGCCGAGTGTGCAAAGCGAAACGTCATGGTGAGTTTGTTTGTTTCTGAATGTTCTTCTTTCTGTCTGTCTTTCCTCTATCAGAGGCACCTGAAACTAGAGGTTAGGCACCTTGAAGGACTCCCCCCCCCCCTTTTTCACCATAACCACCACCAACATCACCCAGATACAATTTATTATGTGTAGTCCAGGTGTTTTTTTTTTCCATTCTAGAAGAAAAGGTACATAACAGGTGCTGGTAGTGCCCCCAGAGTGTCTGTCACAGTAGTGCTGACAAACAGTGATATCTAAACAGTGGTATTGGTACTGTATACTACTTTGTACTGCTGGGAATGAAAAAAGCCCTGGGTGTGTGGATGTGTGGGTGGGTGTGTGTGTGGGTGGGGGAGCTAAGCTGCCTCACATAACCATGTTTAGTTCTTTTGTTTAAGTATTTGTTTATACATATATATTATTTCAAATATGTTATACTGTTTACCATTCAGCTTATTACTATTAAGCACTTAAACAAGTTTTAGGCTTCCTAATATATTTGAGGGTGGGTGAACTAGAACACCCCAACCCCTCCACCAGGTTTTTTTTTTTTTTTTTACATTGTTTCACATTCTTACAATTCTGATATCATTATCCTTGTTGATATAACTCCCTGTATGGCTTAACTATGTTTAAAGAAAAGTTTAACTCGTATGATGGCTCCTCCCAGGTTGCGAACACCCCAGGTGTCTCCACAGACAGTGTGGCCGAGCTGACAGTCACCTTGCTGCTCATGACAGCCAGGAGGACAGCAGAAGGTTAGTCTGGGGAAATGACAGCAAGTTTTCACCATTTCTAGTTTCTGCTGAGCCGATTTTAGTTGTGGGTTAAGGATTTAAGGCTTCTTGTTTTCGTAGACGCCTCTCTTCCATGTCTCACTTTAAATGGTGGAGGGGCTGGATTTTCACTTCACTTGTAGTGTGGCTCTTGACAGGGCTTCCCAAACTAGACAGGTTTGTGGATAGAAATGATCTGTTTTCACACATGAGTACACATGTCCATTACCTGATACTGTATGTGTACACAATATGTCCCGTACATGTTACCAAGTGTGTGCATATTTGCTGTACTGTATATGTAAACATCTTCTGTACCGGATACTGTATGTGTGCACAATATATCCCGTACATGTTACCAAGTGTGTACATATTTGCTGTACTGTATATGTAAACATCTTCTGTACTGGATACTGTATGTGTGCACAATATATCCCGTACATGTTACCAAGTGTGTACATATTTGCTGTACTATATATGTAAACATCTTCTATACCTGATACTGTATGTGTTACAATATATCCTGTACATGTTACCAAGTGTGTACATATTTGCTGTACTGTATATGTAAACATCTTCTGTACCTGATACTGTATGTGTTACAATATCTGTATCTGATAATATGTCTAAACACGGCTTGTGCTCTCTACCTGTTGCCAAACATGTGTATATATATATATACTGTTGGGAAGGGGGGGGGGGAACAGGAAACAGTTATCCTGTAGCCCTTTACTGCTAAATTTAAAAAAAAAAAAATAAATGCATGGCTACTGACAGGAATATAATTTTATCATTCATATTTTTGTAATAATTTTTTTAATGATTGAAATTGTCATTTTGTACACAAAAATACCTAAGTGCTCAATGAATCAGTTGACAGTTTTATTTAAATTTGGGTCATCGATAGATTTTATACATAAAATTTTCTTTTCAACTAATAAAACGCTCCATCGATTTTTTATTTTAAATAAACAAGAAAGCGCCATCAGATAAATATGATGCCTTAAAAAAAATTTATATTTTCTACACCTAATACTGAATATATACACACATGTGTATTCCAGGCGTGGAAGCGGTGAAAGCAGGGACCTGGGGAGAGTGGAAGCCCATGTGGCTGTGTGGCACAGAACTCACTGGGAGGATCCTGGGCGTCTACGGCCTGGGAAGAATTGGCTTCGGTGTTGCCAACCGCCTGAGAAATTTTGGTTTCACAAAAATCTACTATTGTGACATACAAGAGGTTTGTTTGTCTGTCTTCATCTTATAGTCCACGTTATATGGCTTTGATAGTCATGTCAATTAACAGTCTTCTGTCTCCTGTACTTTCAGTTAGTTCTGTGCCACGATGTCAAACTGTCCTGCATCTTCTTTCTTGATCTCCTTCCGCCTCTTTTCCCCTCCAACTTTCCCACTGGCATAATGTACTGCAGTTTTCTCCTTCTCATCACGTGACCGAAGAATGTAGTTTGTCTCCTTCTGGTGTGGGCAAGCAACAACAAACAAAGGCACAACAAAAGCCATGTTGTATAGATACAACGGTAACAGAGCCAGAGGTTGCCGTGCAGAAGATGGACAACTGAAATATCAGAGACACTGAAAAGTGCTATATACGAATCAAATGGAAGGGCATGTTCCAAAGATCTCTCCTAGCTCTGACGTTGCGAGGTGTTCCAGGTGTAGAGAAAAGTAGAAGATTTGGCACTTGGTGAGGACACAATATCTGGTGCCCATTTTAGGCTTATTCAACCTGAAAGCCGAACTGGCATGTGAATCTCTTGCCACTGTGCTTCTGCCACTCCCTTGTTGTTTTAACTATTATTCTTTTCATTTAAGATATTTCTCAGATTTTCTTTTTCCTGTTGGGCAATTGAGGTACATGGATTCCATCCGGGATATCCAAGTGATTGCATAGAACAGAATGGAGGAATATACTGCCACCCTATGTGAGATAATGATGGCACAACAGGACAGTAATGGTGATTGAGGGAGACAGTTCAGAGAGCAGTGGCAAACTACTGAACCTAAAAACTACCCAGTAAAACCACAGTCACAAACTGCTGGGGTCAGTTCTGCAACATCGTACAGGATACACAACTAAGGGGAAGGAAATCAGTGACCACCAGGCGCATAGGCTAGTGCGTGCTAGCCACAGTGATTTTGTTGTCCACATGTGATACATGAGATGATAGCCACACACAGTGACACACACACACACCTCCCTCCCTCTCCCCTTTTTAGGGCTCTGGTATTCCATTTAATTATGCTTTTAAACATTCATGATTGCATCCTTTATATTTGTCAAAATGTGTGTCCACAATTGGCGTGAAAATAGTTGGTGTTACAAAACTGAATGAACATAGCTGGTGTGAAAATAGTTGGTGTTACATAACTGAATGAACATAACTGGTGTGAAAATAGTTGGTATTATATAGCTGAATGAACATAGCTGGTGTGAAAATAGTTGGTATTATATAGCTGAATGAACATAACTGGTGTGAAAATAGTTGGTGTTACATAACTGAATGAACATAGCTGGTGTGAAAATAGTTGGTATTATATAGCTGAATGAACATAGCTGGTGTGAAAATAGTTGGTGTTACATAGCTGAATGAACATAACGGGCGTGAAAATAGTTTGTGTTATATAGCTGAATGAACATAGCTGGTGTGAAAATAGTTGGTGTTACATAACTGAATGAACATAACGGGTGTGAAAATAGTTTGTGTTTTTTAGCTGAATGAACATAGCTGGCGTGAAAATAGTTGGTGTTATTTAGCTGAATGAACATAGCTGGTGTGAAAATTGTTGGTGTTACATAGCTGCGTAGACATAACTAGTGTGAAAATAGTTGGTGTTACATAGCTGTGTGTATATAGCTATGTGAACATAACTGGTTGAGTATAACTTATGTGAAAATATCTAGTGTGGCATGGCTATGTGAACATAACTGGTATGAATATAGCAGTATGAACATAACTTGTGTGAATGTGGTTGTGTGAACATAACTGGTGGGACTTAACTGGTATATATGTAGCTGTGTGAACATAACTGGTGTGAAAATGGCTAGTGTGACGTGGCTGTGTGAACATAATTGTGACCATAACTGATGTGAATGCAGCTGTGTGAACATAACTGGTGGGAATGTAGCTGTGTGCACATAACAAGTTGAACATAACTGGTGTGAATATAGCTATGTGTGCATAACTGATGTGAATATAGCTGTGAACATAATTGGTGTGAGTATAGCTGTGAACATAACTGGTGTGACTATAGCTATGTGAGCATAACTGATGTGAATATAGATGTGAACATAACTGGTGTGACTATAGCTATGTGAGCACAACTGATGTGAATATAGATGTGTACATAACTAGTGTGAACATAACTGGTGTGAGTATAGTTGTGTGAATATAACTAGTTGAACATAACTGGTTGAACATAGCTGTCTGAACGTAAGTGGTTGAACATAACAAGTTAAACATAGCGGTGTGAACATTGCTATGGAAATATAATTGGTGTGAACATAGCTGTATAAAAATTCAGCACGTATTTGGTTAAACATAGCTGTGCGAATATAACTCAAGTCAACCTAATTAGTTTGAACATAATTGGAACTCACTGTCTGTCCTTCAGGTGAGCTATGCCAAAGAGATAGATGCCCAGTTCATCGACTTTGATGGGCTTGTGAGGACCTGTGATTTTATTTGTGTGTGCTGCAACCTGACACCCCAGGTAATGTAAATGTCAGTTTTGTGTCAGTATTTCTCAGAGTCATAATACACAAGCTAGGAATGTCATTGAAATGCTATCCTCATAAATATACAAGTTTAGAAGTGCTGTCCCTTTGTAGACAAAAGAGGAATGTCATTCAGATGTCATCTTTATATACAAGTCAGAAGTCTCATTAAGATATTGTACTTAATGGTCAGCGTCTGTGGCTTAGGCTTCGCAAATGTGCTTCGTAATGCCGGGGTGCCGGGTTCGATCCCAGCTGCGGGCTTTGCTGCGCCTTGCGTTGGTTTAGACAGTGGTATTGAGAAGCCGACTGTCCTAAAAGCAGTGGCAAACTACTGGACGTAAATTTGCCTAGAATAACCACAACAGCCAAGAAATTATGGTTTTGGTTCTGCAACGTCCTGTAAAGGATATGCAGCTAACTTTTAACTTATATCTGTGGCTTTTCTTACCAAGTCAGCTTTATTTTGCACTATTTATCCCATGTTTGACATTCACATGACCAAATTTTACACTAACTCGACCAAGTTTGACACTCAACCTTCCTCAACGTTAATTCAATCAGTTTTTCAGTACTATCTCAGCTATATTTGACATTCAGTTATGCCCTGTTTGGCACTAATTCAGCCTCCTCCTGTCATTTTTCGTAGCATTTATCAGCTATGAATTCCAGTGGAAAATCTTGTTGTTCGTCCACTTTTAGACTTTGATTTCTCCCCATTGTTTGCTCCGAGGCCCCACTGTTGGGAAAACAAGAGTAGTCGCACTGCCTCCCCAACAAATGTTGTAGGAATCAACTCATGGAGGCCTAATTCGAAGTGGGAGTACATCTGCCCGTGTGGCAAGGAACAACCAACTGCACACTGATAAGCCTGTAAAACGGATGTACACCCAAAACTCAGGCCCTGGCACAAAGCCGAGGTCCAGATGGACGAACAGCCAGGACTTTCCCTCGGAGCTTACAGCCATAAACATAGAAGAAGACTGTGATCTTGTTGCAGAACTTGAGTTTTGCTTCCACACATGTTTTATAGTTTATTTGTATACAGGCTGTTGGTTCCTTGCCTTTTAGGCAGATGCACAACTGTGAAGGAAACACCCCCAGTTATTCACCTTTTATTGATTGCTTGCTGGCGGCAGTGGGCTTATTCTTTTCCCCCAATATGGAGTCCTGGAACCCACAACAGGAACTACATAATTCAGCCATGTTTGGCACTAATTCAGACATGTTTGGTGCTCATTCAGCCATGTTTGGCACTACTTCAGCCATGTTTGCCACTAATTCAGCCACGTTTGGCACTACTTCAGACATGTTTGCCACTAATTCAGCCATGTTTGGCACTACTTCAGACATGTTTGCCACTAATTCAGCCATGTTTGGCACTAATTCAGCCATGTTTGGCACTCATTCAGCCATGTTTGGCACTAATTCAGCCATGTTTGGCACTAATTCAGCCATGTTTGTCACTCATTCAGCCGTATTTGGCACTAATTCAACCATGATTTGCGCTTATTCACCTTCTTTATTTCTGTTCTCAGACACGGCACATGTTCAACAGAGACACGTTCAAAAAGATGAAAAACACTGCAATCCTCATCAACAGTGGCCGAGGGGGAGTCATAGACCATGATGCCCTGGTTGAAGCACTGAGAAGCGGAGAGATTCAAGCAGCCGGCCTCGATGTCACTGAGCCTGAACCTCTACCCAAGAACCACCCGTTGGTGTCCATGTACAACTGTGTCATACTGCCACACATGGGCAGTAATACTTGGGATTCCCGTAATGCTATGGCGGCTATTGCAGCTCGTAACTGCATTGCAGCCGTGAACAATCAGACACCAGAAGGACTTGTGAAAGCTTCTTGAGCTGAAGCAACTTCAGCTTCATCTGAACCCATTACCTGGCAGCTGATCTAATAATATATACTACAGTATGTTCATGTGTGAAGGAAAATGGCATAGCGATACAGAGAAGAAATGGTATGAAATACACAACACTAGCAAACAAATAAAACTGCAAACTGTGAGAAGATGCATCTGACCCTGTGGAAACAGATGGATGTGAGTTGTGAACAATTTCATAATCAATAAAATGAGGTTTTTTACTGAAACAAAAAGTTGTGAATTGTGAACGACATCACAGACACTCAAATAAATGGAGGATTTTAAATTGAAATATAGAATTATCTTGAATAAATGTCAATCAAAATAAGAAGTATACCTAGCCAGTATGAATAGTTTAGAAATATATTTAGATAAAAGAACTAATTATCACAAAAGTTATTATGGTATATTACCTATTTAGCTAAAACAACAGGCATATGTGAAATATTCTGCTTCTTTGATTGTCCAGTCACTAAATGTCTCACTCGACAAAGGTTTATTTCTATGTAAAGGGAAGCAATCACTAAATACAAAGGGAGCAAAGCAATTAATCAATCCCCCCCCCCCCCCACCCCCTTTAAAAATGTTTGTCTCCCTTTGTCACAAACATGACCAGCTCCAGCGATACGGACGAACAGGTCTACGGAAATTCCAATTTTGTTAGGCCGGTTTATGCTCATCATTTTTATCGAGTAAATTTATACATAAATTAAACTACGTTTTAATTAACCGGCAACATATTTTATTGAATAATTTGTTATTTTATTTTCTAACAGTTAACTTCTATTATTTTTCATTAGTCCCCCCCCCCCCCCCCCCCCCGTGGGAGGGAGTTTTTTGTTATTTTGAAGCCCCACCTTGGCTGTTGCCGGGGGTCCTAATATAACCAAATTGTTGAACGGGGTTTCTGGGCCTCTCCATGGATGGTCCTTATCTGCATGGGGGCACTTTGTGTCACCGGGTGTTTATCACTTAGTGTGATGTCCTGGTGGGGTAGAAAGTCAGCCAGTCAATGGTTCATTTATTTATCTTCGTAATGATAGTTCCAGAAGTTCCCACCTTAAATGGTTCATTTTCTGCCGAGTTAACCGAGCTGTGCATGGTTTGGCATTACCGTGAAGGAGCAGTAGTCTAGTCAGCAGGTCTAGACGTTGCATCGAATTGCACCATGAAGCAACAATCTTAACAGTATGCACCACTTTACGGGATATACTTTTGTCAGCATGAACAGGAAGCATTTCTTTTTGAACTCATTCGCAGGCAGCCCTGTTGCCCTAAAGAATCTCACAACAGCACATTTTTGGTTTTGTTTTGAGGTGCACTCCCTAAGTACCGTCGCCATTTTGTTTCGGTGTTGCGAACGCGCATGCAACATCCAGCACCACCTAACAAACGGAGAAATAAAGTTCCATGTTGCTGTCACCTAAGACAGAAACCACCAACTACATTTTCCGGCCATCTCATAGCCATTTGTGATTTACTTATTGACTTGCTATTGTATGTTCTGCTCGCCTGAATCATGATCATAATTGACATTGTCTTCTTTATACCTTTGGTATCTTTTAGCTCTTTTGCCTTTCTTTCTTTATTTTGTTATCTTCCTTCAAAGGTTTCATATTATATTTTTAAAATATTAGAGTGAAAATCAAAGAGATACAAATCCCAGAAACGCCATTCACCTGTAAAGCATATACCAGTTATATTGGGGCAGCACGAAATATCTGTGAAGTAGAATGTAATTCAATGTCTTTGCATTGGAACCCACAGGGGCATAGGAATAAAGGAAGGCCAAAAAACACATGGAGAAGAGAGCTGGAGAATGAGGTTAGAAAGATTGGGAGGACATGGGGAGAGCTCCATGTAATGGCGAAGGATAGAACGACTTGGCGTGAGTTGGTTGAGGGCCTATGCTCCATTGGGGGATAGAAAGGCAGAAGAGAGAGAATGTAATTCAGAGTGGGTGGGTCTGTGTATTAACGAACATTTTGAAATTTTAAGTTTTATACGTTATCTTTTATTTCAGCAAAAAGCGACTGATAAATTCAGTTTACTGTGCAAAGTTGTAATGTTGAACAGGGCGTGAATAGATAACACTATACATGTACATTTTAATCTTAATCTTTACTAACTTGACAATACACTGTTTTACTGGCAGCAAGTATTAAAAGCAATAGAAACAAGTTGTAAACTACGATTGTGTGAGTTTGTTTCTTCTATATGTCTGTTTCATATGGAAAGGAGGCACACAGTGTGTGGTCTCAGTTTTCTTGGGCTGAAAGAATTACCATTCGTTCTTTCAACTCCAGGTTAAAGAGAAAGTCGTTGCCTATTTGATTTCTCATAATAATACACACAGTACAGATCGATATAGCATCATCTAGGATCGAGGAAATGGAACTCGGTGGGACGAGTGATGGTCACAGCAGCGTCTATTATCTATCGCGCACTGTGTGTGGATTGTCTCAAAGCACAGAAAGGAACAACTTTCTATCTGTCTTACTCTTACTTGTGTCGAACAGTTTTTTTTTTAAAGTGTTGATATTCCTACGCTTTCATTTAAAATGTGACACTCTTCTGAATATTATACACAGTAAAAAGTAAAGTTCCCTTTTCACGTCTTTCGGCGCATAGGGCATATGGGCAGAGCGTCCCATATTTTTACAGACCAATAGCACTCTGTGGGTAATGTGGTCAGCATTACGCCGGCTGTCTTTACTTTCTCAGGACATGATCCTGGTACCCATTTTAGGCTGGGTCGACCTGCGACGTCCCATACCACGACAAAAATCCACGCAGCCAGCAGTGGGTTTCGATCGCGGTATGTTGGCTTACGAGTCGGACTCGCAACGCCTTAGCCACGGACGTGTACACACAGTAATGTAGGTCGGCGTCTGTGGCTAAGGTGATGCCAACGCGCTTCGTAATACCAGGGTGCGGGGTTCGATCCCAGCTGCGGGCCCTGCGCCTTGCGTTGGTTTCGACAGTGGCATCGAGAAGCCGACCATCGAGAAAGCAATGGCAAACTACTAGACGTAGATTTGTCTAGAAAAACAGCAACAGCCACAAAATGCTGGGGTTGGTTCTGCAAAGTAATGTAGAGCTACCAATTCCCTCAGATTCTTCTTATTATTATTCTTATGCCTTTCTATCCCCCAATGGAGCATAGGCCCTCAACCAACTCACGCAGTCGTTCTATCCTTCGCCATTACATGGAGCTCTCCCCATCTTTGTAACTTCATTCTCCAGCTCTCCTATTCATGTTTTTTTTTTTTTTTTGTTGGTCTTCCTTTATTCCTATGCTTCTGTGGGTTTCAATGCAAAGACATGCTGGTTATGCTGTTCTCCTGACTTAGCAGGTTTAGACGCCTCTGGTCGGATGTGGGGGAGAGGAGAGGAGAGAGAGAGAGAGAGAGAGAGAGAGAGAGAGAGAGAGAGAGAGAGAGAGAGCGAGAGAGAGAGAGAAACAAAAGTTTCATAAGAAAATACGGTTCTATATTTTTTACGTACCCCTGACGTCACAATGACGTCACGGGAGACATTCCCAATAAATTCCAGGGTGTTCAGGTTGTGGTTTCTCGCGGTTTCTCTACATCCAAGTTCACATCGCAAAAGCGCGCACTTGCAAAGCGCGCGCGCTTAAGTATGACGTGCAATGTTGTCACTTTGGATGTTTTACATCCACATTTAGATGTTTTTCCTTGCAGTTAGATGTATTTTTGACGCTTTAATGGTAGATGTTTTTCTAGATGCTTTTCATTTGGAGTTAAATATATTTTTTCTTATGGTAGATGTTTTTCTAGATTCTTTTCATTTGGAGTTGAATATTTTTCGTACTGTTACTACCAAAAAAAAAAAAAAAAAATCGTGTGGGTTGGTTCCCTGATCCCATTTTTGAAGAAACAATACTAAGTCTACTAACCCAAAACAACCATGTCGTAAGAAGTCACTAATCAGGAGTGTTTCCTCTAAAATCGGAGTGCCTCTGCCTAAGATACGACGAACCAGTACTCTGCATACAAGCCAGATCTGTAAAACAGACATGTACGCAAAACTGAAGTTCTAGAACAAGACTCGTCTAGAAGGGGACGCACAACGAGAATTGTGAGCCGGAGTTTACAGCCGGTGAATGCTAAACAAACAGAAGAATACTTAAAAAAACGAAAACACACACCAGAATAAAAACTGAGATACCTAAAGGCATTCTCAGAACCACTGGCCTAGACAGGTTGATAAAGATTCTCCAGAATGGCCGAAGGATTTATTTATAAACATGACGTCAGGATGAAGTGTGGCCAGGACGTCGACTCGTGGATTATAGAGTCGATTACAAGTACCACTATTACAAAGGCGAGTAATCAAACAGAATTAGAATCGTTGCTGTCCACTCTGTCTAAGGTTTTTGATAACATGTGATTATCAACTACATGTATAAACTAAAACATTTTCCAGAAATAAACCCGACCATAAATACAACCGAATGCTGCTAACAGCAAGTAAAACGTGGCCGATATGGATAATTTAACTTAAACCCTGTCTAAGTAAAAAAAAAATAGGCGGGGGGTGGGGGGGGGGGGAGAGGATGTTGTGAAACATTCTTGCCGAAAGTGAATGAGGTGGGTCGAAAGGTGCAGCTATCGCTGCCTAGCTGTAAACCACAATCGAATGTGCTAACCACTCTTCTAATGGCGAATGCCGCACCAGAAGACACAAACAGCAGCAGAAGAAGAATAGGAGGAAGAAGAAGAAGAAGAAAAAGAAGTGGAAGAGAAAAAAAAAGAAGATGAAAAATAAGAAGAAGAAAACGAGGAAGAAGAAAAAGAAGAGAAATAATAATAATAATGATAATACTACTACTACTACTACTACTAATAATAATAATAATAATAATAATAATAATAATGAGAAGAAGAAGAAGAAGAAGAAGAGGAAGAAGAAAAAGAAGAAATGGAAAAATAAGAAGAAGCAGCAGAAGAAGAAGAAGC